GTTTAAAGCCATGGAAATACATGGATGAGCAGAAAGAAATACCAAGACACTGAAAACTGGTGTCAGAATGTGTTGTTCATTTTGCTATTAATGTTGAGAACATTCATCTAATAGAGAAGGCAGTCACTTAATGTGTGCTTCTAGAAGGTGTTTGGTAGAGAGACACAAAATTGTAGCATTCAGTTTTCCAAAATTTCCTCAAGCCAAATCCACCCAGAGCCTCCCAGTTTAGCATCTAAGGCTAACATGGATAAATTTAGGCTATTCTACTTCAGACTTAATCGTAAAGTAAAAGCTGAGATGCAAGCAAAGCATGAACAATGAACAATGCTTTTGAAATGTTTTATTCAACATAATTAGCATATGAAACTTTTCATATATTCATTGTATACATTTTGATCAATTTGGACATATGTTTATACCTGCCACACCACAACTATAATGAAGGTATTAAACTTATCTATCATCTCCAAAAACTTCCTTGTGTTCTACTGTGATATTTTTTCTGTTTTCATGCTTGTATATCTGTGTTTATGTGTGTACACTTAATATGAGATCTATCACTTTAACATAATTGAAAGTGTATATTGCCATATAATTAACTATAGGGATGATGCTGTAAACAAATCTTTAGTATTTGTTCATCTTGTAAAACTAAAAATCCCCAAATACTGAACTTGAAGTCATGATATAATATATATTCCTTCATAATGAAAGCTCCTTAAAAAGACCGACTACTCCAACGTTATGAAAAAAAGGCTTGAATAGGAAACTGATTTATTTTCTCCAAAAAGAAGCACTGACAAATTATGACATTTTTGAGGGAAGTTTATAACAAGCTGTGATGACAAACTGTTTCTGGCTCCTGGGCAGCATAGTGACCAACAGAGAAGAGGTCTGAGACAGCACAGCTACTGCCTAGCACATCTGGGTTTGGTTTCAAGCACTGAGCCATATCATAATTTGTAGATTTGTTCTTTAAATTTACATCCCATTATCATATTCCTGGCAGAAAACTGTACAGATTACAAATGGAGTTGAACTTGGATTTTAAGAAGAAATTAAAGCAGTGACAGTTTAGATACTAAGTACTAACTCTGGTTTCACAGCTCTTGTATAATCTGAATTATTTTAAGCTTAGCAGACATAGAAAGACAGAGTGAATTGGTTTCTGAGCAAGAGATTGGGTGGGAATAATATGAAAACAGTCACTGAAGCAATGATGGTATTTAACCACAATAGGATTCTGCATTAGCAGTTACTGATTATTAGTGTTTGTTTAGTTTTCTGATTTGTTTCACTCAAATTAGGCTTTACTAAGACTTTCAGAGCTACAATCAATGACAAGTTTACAGATCTCCTAAACTACTTTCTTACAGAACTCAAAATGAATGCAATACAGCCCATAAAACAAAAACAAAAGAAAATTGGGAAGCTCATTTTGTAAACGATCAATTATTGTTTTTTAATACTTAAAAATTTTCCTTTTGCAGCTTCTGATTTGCTAATCCCTCAGGTCTGTGGTTGTTCTGCGTAGTTAATGAAGCCCTGAATACAAGACATCTCAAATACACGTGGCTATGCATTCCAATTCGTTAAGGGAAATCTCAAAAACAGAAAGGAAGTTACCTATCTAGCCAAGTTAGTTGGCCTCTCCTGGCTCCCTTAGCTGCCTCCTGAATGAATCTTAAAGAAAATTTAGTCAAATACATCAAAAATCATTACATGTACCCTTGTGTTCAAGTCCACAAAAATAGAAATTTCAAATGCATTATGGCACAAGAAAGCAGACTGTTGAGAGGAAGAAAATCAATCAGAAAATCTTCCTGTGAGTAAATTCCTTAAATGGCTCCACTGTGCCTCAAAATCTTTAGCCTGCGTTACAAGACTCTTCAAAATCTGCCTTCCACAGAGCCATTTTGACTTATTCCTGATCTATCTTGTGTCCCAGCATTATAGTTAAATGATTAGAGCTTCCCAATATACTATTTTCTAAAGATGTAGTGTCACTGTCACCTCTACCTTGAATGGCAATAATCAATAAAAACACATAATATACTGTATGTAATGTTAAATTTTCTAAGAGCCACATTAAGAAAGGTATACGCAAACTGAATATAACACCAATAACACAAGTTATTTAGCTCAAAATAGCTAAAATATCATATGACTTGTAACTGATACAAAATATTTAGAACTCTGTACCAAGTCTTCAAAATCCATTCACAATTCTGCCTAAACGAACTACCTATTTGGCCAATTTAGGCTGCCATATTGGACATTCTAGTTGTTGAAAATTTTTGCCTTTCTTTCCTTTAGGATTTTGATCAGTGTAACCCTCCCCATGGATGTCCTTCCTCACCCATAGGCTCAGGTGTTCACCTATACTGCGTACTTTAGATGAACCCTCCATCAAAACACTTATCACATTGTATCCCTTGTTTAAGCATCTTTATCTGCTACCAGACTTGAAGTTTTTTGAATCTGGGTGCCAGGTCTTAATTTTATATGCCAAGGACCTGGCAAACGCTTTTCACAAGGCTGTATGTTTTCATTTGTGTTCAGCAGAAACACATATAACTTACCAGGTGGGAATTGGTTCAACAGCAAGTCTCAACTAAGTATTAAGACTGACTATCTATAGGTCACTGTGTTAATAAGCAGTTTCTGTGCTCTAGTTTTTCTTTTCAAAACTGCTTTTTCAGACCTAAAGCAAACATCAATAACAAAACCTCACCAACGTCTAATCAGTGCATAAGGACTACTCTAAGTCATCTTTCGAAGAGAACTGATAAAGATTTTTTTTGGTCAAAGAATTAACTAAGGACCTAGTCAACATTTGAGATGCATAGGGAAATCAGGGTATAGTGAACCTAAGAATGCTTTTGCTTCATCAAGAACAATGTTTGATGTTGTCAGAAAGAATTAAACCAGCAAAAACATCGCTCCTTCCCTTGCTTCATTTTAGTTAAGTATTTGGCACTAAATTATCTTGGAATGCATGTCATTTATCTATATATTTTTGAATAAAACATTAATTTGGCTTTGGTTGGGACTACATTATATTTTGCTCAAATGAGAAAATAATACCCTATATTTAAGGAAAATATCAAGAATTTTAGAAGATATGAAATTACAAACACTAAAGTGAAATGAATCTGCAAACATTATTTTCCTATGTTTGCTCACAAGGT